AGCCCTCCGGCTGCAGGCCCTCGGGTCCTGGCTCTGGCCTCGGCAGCGCCCCGTCCCTTCTGACATAGGGCTCTCCCGCTGTCTGCAGCCCCCGTGCCGCCCGCGCGTCCTTAAAACGTGCCCCTCCTCTGCGTTTTCTTGAAGGAACCTCCGGCCCTTCCTCTTGGCACTTGGCAGGAGGGCGAGGAGACAGAGCCGTCGTAACAGGAGCAGAAGAGAAAAGCCCCCAACAGAAATGAAATGGAGAGCTCGCTCTGTAAGCCTCCCCCACCGGCCGCAGCGCCCATTAGCAAGACGGAGGGGCCTGAACGCGCGGCCTGCCACCCAGCCTGCTTCACCACGCGGGGGCTCGGACCCGCGGCCAAGGAGAGCCACGTGGCAGGCTGCTTCTGCCTCCTGGGACTGCTCACTTTTCCTAAATACACCGTGGAAAGCGTCCTGTTATCTTAAAAATGACCTTGGAACGCCCACCTTATCTATTACTTTGATCACTGTAATAATCACAACTAATCATTTTAAGCCATTCCTATGTACCAAGCAATGTTCAGAGTATTTTCTTTCTTATTTTTAGAAGTTATTTAATATCATTTCCGCAAGGGCCGGAATTTTCATGTGTTTCGCTCCGTGCGCTGTCCTCAAGCGCCTGGAGTGGCGCTCGGCAGCCACAGGCCCGCAGCCTGGGTTTCTCCAGCTGATCCCTCGGCGACAAGGCCTCGCACTCGTGCGGCTTCACCGCCCCCAGCACGGGGTCGGAGGCAACGCCCGGGCTTCGGGCGCCAGGTCCGAGGCACCGAGACCCAGCGCGGCGGGGCTGAAGTCTCCTTTTCGAGTCTGCCCTGCGACCTTGGGCACGTCACTTAGTTGCTCTATGTACCCAATACTGCAGGGTCGTAGCGAGGATTCAATGAGATTTCACAGAGCCAAGGGCTTGCTTAGCATGGTGCCTGGCGCATAGCAAATGCTAAATAAATTTGGTCACGGTGTTTTCAACCAAGAAATAACAACGGGGCACGTAGCCTGTGGGAGGCCAGGATGAGTTTTGCAGGGTTTTGTCACGTTCTTACATCCGCGGCGCTGAGGAGGGACGCGGGCAAGAAGAGGTAACTGGAGAGAGGGTAGGAAAGCCACGTTCGCGGCCCGACGGCGCGCGGTGCGGCTCCTTTAAGGGGGGCGGGGCCACGTGACCCGCGCGGTCACGTGGCTCAGGGACAACATGGCTGCGCCCGCGCCGGGGTC